CATCAGAGACGCATCGCAAGACGCAGGCATCCGGCCCGTTCGGGCACCTCATCTCATCTCATCTCCTTACCTGAAAGCCAAGAGCCGAGTGTCGAGAGCTTTCACCCCTCTAAAACCCCAACCTATCAGATGACGTCAAAAAAAGCTGAGCCAGCTGCACCTCACATTGTGGGGAACCCGCACAGAACCACTTACAACAGGCGCAGACAACGACACACACTCTTTCATCTCGACCGCAGCTCCCTCACCTCACTTTCCCACAATCTCAATATCACCACCCATTTACTCGCGCGCACATGAGGCCACGAGAACTCATCCCGCCGACAAGACAACCTAACTCAGAAAGAGGCGCCAGGAAAGGGGGAAGAAGAAAAAAAGCATTGGGACCACGTCAATAAAGGGAACAGAAAAGACCCCCCTCACAAAATACAAACATGTCCCCCTCAACAGAACCCCTCTCCCCCCCCTCCTTCGCAACAACCCAGCTCACCCTCCTCGAAGCCGAACTCGCCGCAGAAGTCTCGGAATCGTCCGCCCTCGTCTCCTCGCACTCCCCCACGGCCCTCCAGCGCGCAGGCCTCGCCCTGCCCAACCTCGTCGTCACCGCCCGCCGCACAGGTCTAGGCGGCCGCACCGTCCTCGAACTATCCTCCGATCCCGCCGTTGCTTCTTCTTCCGGTGAACTACCCGAGCATGGCCTCCGTCCGGGGGACATTGTGCTCATCTCGGAGCAGCCTGCGGGAAACGCCAAGAAGAAGGAGGTGAAGGAGCTCGAGAGTAAAGGGGCGAGGGGGGTGGTTACGAGGGTTAGGAGGGAGCTTGTTGGTGTTGCTGTTGATGAGGGGAAGGGGGAGGAGAGGGAGTTTACGGGGAGGGTTTGGATTGTCAAGGTTGCTGACGATGTCACGTACCGGAGGTGAGATCTTCTGCTCTTGACTCATTTCCTTTTCGGTCGTCTGTCGGTCAAGGATCAAATGCTTGACAGAGATGGAGTCTGTCAGCTGCGTCACTTGGTGCGAGACTTCACGGAAGCAGGCTGGGCTCTCCGTGATTGACGACTTGTGGCAGTATCACAATGCTGCAGCACCTAGCGGAGGAGCAGACAGGACTAACAAGCGCCTACAGGATGAGCCAAACCATGGGCAAGATCGAAAAGATGACGGAATCGGAATACACGGCCTTCATGCGCGTCCTCTTCGGCCTCTCGAGCCCGTCACCGGTGCCCCCGGACCTAGCATCCGACCCGGAGCTCGCAAAGATCCAATGGATCGACCCGTCTCTCAACGACTCCCAAAAGGACGCCATCCGGTTCGCCCTCGCGTCCCGCGAAGTTGCCCTGATCCACGGCCCGCCAGGCGTGAGTCTGACTTGATCCCCTAACCGACCCGATGAAAGAAACGCCATGGCTGACGAAAAAGGAGGAAAAAGACGGGCAAAACACACACCCTAATCGAACTAATCCTCCAGCTCATCAAGCTCAATCTCCGCATCCTCGTCTGCGGCCCCTCCAACATCTCCGTCGACAACATCGTAGAGCGCCTCGCCCCGCACAAGATCCCCATCCTCCGCCTCGGCCACCCGGCCCGCCTCCTCCCCAGCGTCCTCGCCCACTCCCTCGACGTCCTCACCCAGACCTCCGAGGCCGGCGCCATCGTCAAGGACGTCCGCGCCGAAATGGACGCAAAACAGGCCTCTATAAAAAAAACGCGCAACGGCCGCGAGAAGCGCCAAATCTACGCCGACCTCAAGGAGCTCCGCAAGGAATTCCGCGAGCGCGAGCGCGGCTGCGTCGCAAACTTGATTCGCGAGAGCAAAGTCGTCCTGGCGACGCTGCACGGCGCGGGCGGACACCAGCTCCGGGACCAGCAGTTCGACGTCGTCATCATTGACGAGGCGAGCCAGGCGCTTGAGGCGCAGTGCTGGGTGCCTTTACTGTCGGCCAAGAAGGCCGTTTGTGCCGGCGATCATCTGCAGCTGCCGCCGACAATCAAGTCGCTCAATTCCAAGGTGAAGCCGCCGGCGGCAGCAAAGTCAGCGGCCCCCATAGAAGACGCGGAGAAGAAGCATATCAAGGGCATGACGCTGGAGACGACCCTGTTTGATAGGCTTCTCGCCCTACACGGGTCATCCATCAAGCGTATGCTCACCACACAGTACCGCATGCACGAGAACATCATGAGGTTCCCGTCGGACGAGCTTTACGAAGGAAAGCTCATCGCCGCGGAGGCGGTCAAGGAGCGCTTGCTCAGAGACCTGCCGTACGAGGTCGAGGACACGGAAGACACCAACGAGCCGGTCGTCTTCATCGACACGCAAGGGGGCGACTACCCCGAGAGGAGCGAGGACGACGACAAGGACGCCGTCAAGAAGGCAAAGTTCAGCTTGCACGGGGAGAGCAAGAGCAACGAGATGGAAGGGGCCTTGGTCCGGCAACACGTCCAGAAGCTGGTCGACGCGGGAGTGAAGCCAGAGGACATCGCCGTCGTGACCCCTTACAACGCTCAGGTAAGCCTGGTCAAACCCAACGAAGCCCCCTTCCCCCCCTTTGATTATGGATCTTCTGTTTGGAAATCTTGGGTCCGTCGCGAAGAGCCGCAAGGCATGAAAGCTGACATCGGATGAACCGAACGCAGCTCGCCATTTTAGCGCCCCTGAAAGAACGGTTCCCTGGCATCGAGCTGGGCAGCGTTGACGGATTCCAGGGCCGTGAAAAAGAGGCCGTCATTGTCAGCCTTGTACGGAGCAACTCCGTAGGAGAAGTAGGGTTCCTGGGCGAGAAGCGCCGACTGAACGGTAAGCTTCAAACGAGAGATGATCCCGCCGGCCGCGGCCAGGCTGGGAAGATCCCAGTATGCGGCCGACCGTTAGCGCATGAATGTTAATGCGTTCTTAGTGGCGATGACGAGACCCAAACGCTCGCTGACGGTGATCGGAGATTCAGAGACAGTCAAGAGGTGAGTCGGTTTGAGAAAATTGCTTTCTTTTCCCCCTTCTTCCCCAAACCTTCCCCTTCCCTAGTTGAATTTGGGGCGTGCGGCGCAGAGCACCTCTGCAGTCTGCACAGATGGTGGCAGGCTTATCCTGAGACATCTGCTGAGCCGCGTCAAACGTCCAACATCTCGGGCCTGTTTCTTCTTCTTTTTTTTCTTTTCTTTTTGTGCTAACTTGGGTTGTGCCATGATCAGAGGCAGCAACTTTCTCAAACGGTGGATGGATTTCCTCGAAGAGAACGCTGATCTACGTTACCCGGATTTATCGTCACTTCAAGGGTCCTGAAAGGTCCCTAAATTTGGGACGGTTGGGGAGATCGTGGGCTGGCGGCGTTACCGAGGGACCATCTTCCATGCAAGGTCCGCCCCTCTCCAATGTCGACCTTTATGCGACGAGAGGACTCGTGGCTAGAAAGAACAGACGATCTGGAATACCGACGAACCGGCTTTGTCGATGTGGTGGCCCGCCGTGGAGGGGTAGCTGGGATGAATCCTTATGCGACGGGATGTGCTGGTTTCCCAACGATGCCAAAACAGGAAAAGGCTGCATTGTCTGACTTTCGGCGCGGCGTATCGTAGAATTTTGAATCGGCCGTCGACCATGCTCGCGGCCCACCAGGGGTTCATTGGGGGAGGGTGCGTCCGTTGACGCAAGTTGATGGGCGCTAGGGCATAGACGACTTGGGTCGTGGCTTGTCGTGTCGTGTTCGCGGTCCTGGGCAGCGGACGAAAGAAGAAGGGAGAGAAAGATTTTGGGTCCTTTGGAGTGGAGGGACGGGGGCACAGATGTCAGCCGTCACTGATCAGACGAAGAAAGTGGCATCCATGTATGTTTCAGGTTACTTTCCACGTCTGGCGACCTGTGCCATCCTTGTTCGCGTGGCCAGACCCGCCATATTCTCCTACCGAGGAGGAGGGGGATGCTTGACTTGGACGTTACCCTCTCGGTCTCGACGAGATTGTGCGCTGGAATTCGCGGTGCCTTTGGGGTTATGTACGGAGTCTGCGGACTATTCGTACGGATAAAGTATTTGAAAGCAGACCTGAGACTGCGGCTGATATTGGATTGCCCGCACCAGAACTCAACAAATCAGTCTTGATCCTTCTTGGCACAAGATATCATCTGTAATTTGACCAGGGCTCTCTCTCCTGTGTTGGGTTGAAGCCATGTCTGTCGTAAAGACAAGACCAAAGTGAAAAAGCCTGTCGCCTATCTCGTACTCTGTATATCTGGTTGCGTTGAATCTCGCTGCGTTGTGCACTCTGCCTTGACTCCGCGCAGCGAATATATCTTGTTGGCCATCACATCTGTTATTATCAGATTGTACCATCCCAACTGCGCAGCCAAGTTTGGGAAGCTTAGACATCCGGATGTATAGTGTGAGCTAGGACATTGCACAGCCCAGATCACTCACATTCGGTCGGCACTTCAACTCGCTTCCAGAAGAATGGTTCATCTCCATGTCTATGAGACATGGCTAATTCCGGGGCAAACCACCAATTGGATGTGTGTTCCGATGGCTGGGAGAGCGCTGGCGAGTAATGTGCTTTGCCAGCAGCTTCAGCCGTGTGCCATTTATTATACTCGGCTCCTATAGATGCCGGCCGCTCGTGCTCTGGGCTGACGGGCGATCATAAGTCGGTTGTCTCGCTATATGATGCTCCGCCAAGGTCCACTGTGCAAGACGATCAAACCGTTGCTGGAGCGGGATAGCTTCTCAGGTGTTGGATCGAGGTTGGACTAGGGGGGCTACATTGACGTGATTGACTAGGCACGAGCACTCCGTGTGGGTGATTTGGCATGGCTTTGCTACCTGTATCGCCCACGTAACTGCAATATGCATTGCATGATGTTGGTTGTCCACGAGGGAGCCGCCGCCTTCCTGGACGAAGCTATATCGTGATCGCATATAGGCACCGAAAATAGCTGACTGGCCAATAATTCTTCCGACGCTTTGTTCCGTGCGACTCTGGCAAGGTGTTTTAAACCAGAACCTCAAGGGAAAAGAATCACGGCGGGTTCGCGGTGCCTTTAGCCGTTGCTGAAAACCCCCCACGAGTCAGGGTGAGCAGGCCAAAGAAGCCACCATATTGCGTTGCGGAGAAGCTGTCCACATTGATACGAGCCGTGGGACTGTCATCGAGCTTCGCCCAGAATTGGAATGGTCTTGATCTAGGCAGACAATAGGGGACAGCGGGGGTCCTGCTCGACGGGCAAAAGGCTTGCAAGCCATGTGGTGGTTTAGCCTCCTCTGAATCCTGCGATGTGGGGCTGTCCCAAATGCAGTTGTATGGATACTGGCCTGTCTTTTGGACGCGAAGATGCTGCACGTCGTCGACGGGGGGGCTGGAAGACACGGCTTAGAAAGGGTTTCGCTCCTACAAGAAGGGGCTCAAAGTGAGTTGTGATGGAAACTTCTTGATTCCTACGCAGTATTGGAGTATTGAGTGAGGTAGTTGTGCCGCAGCATCCAGAGGTTGCCGCTGGCGTGAACCAAGAATAGGTAATGCAGGCAGGTGGCAGGTGCATGCAGGAGGACGTGGCATGTGGTTGCAGCGATCCAAGTGAGGAAAACTCCGTCGTAACCTGCGGCTCGGTGGCACATTGGATTCGTCCGAGAGGCTAGCAATCACATCTCTGCAAGTGCAGCGTTGCTTCTGAGGAGCTGAAGCCAGCGCTACCACAAAAGATGGAGAGTCGTTGAGCAATCGGGATTCAACCAGCTAGAATCTAGTGTGAATGGCTGTCAGGTCTGACGGCGGCGGCGCCAGTCAGAGTGACAGAGGCATCCAACCGCAAATGAGATAGTGCAAACGGCCAGGCGGACGAGACGAGTTAGTGCCGTTGATTCTTGATGGCAGGACGCTCGAAATTCCAGCATTCCGTTTGCCGGGGCCTTCGCTCACTTCCTATTGGGGTGAGGCAGGCGTTCGCTGATACCCTAGCGCGGCGTCATGATATTGGACGACTAGTTGGCGATAGAGGTCTTGGATGGCGGGATCTGGGACGCCATGTCGGGTGAAGATGCTAGCTAGGCTTGGTCGATTTCCGATGGTGTTGGCCGATGGCCGACAGACTAAGAGGTTAGACGCAGTGTGGATTGTTGGTAAGAATTACCAGCACCCTCGAGCAGCATGGCTTTGACCTCGTCCACGACTCGTCCGTCAACTTGAAGAACGACTAGGATTCATCATACAAGAGCGTGGACTTGAGAGACGAGGCCTGTCGCTGGTCGATGCCTTCACCCGATCAGCACGGATAGAGTCGGGGTTTGGTAGCGACAAGGCCAAGAACCGGGTCGAGTGATGCGAATCTAGAGTGGTAGCGGGTGGCAGTATCCGTGTGTAGAGTAGTAGTATGTAGCCGTAGGCGGCATCATCAATCACACACCGACTCTCGATGACTGTCTTTGGCTCTTGTTATCGGTATGTGCAGGCTTGTTGCAACCCGAGGACCAAACGAGGATGAAGGTAGGTACTGGTAGTCTCGTATCTGGCGATGCGAGGTGAGGTTGACACACACGGACCACAAGACACAAAAGTGACCTCCGACTTGTGACCTCAACATGGATTCATGGAATGAGCCACGGCGGGACGGGCAGCGGGAGCGAGTTCCCTTGTTGGGCCCATGTTGATGTGGAAAAAAAAAGAAAAGGAAGCAAAGACTGAAACAAGACGCCAGATGCGGCAGCTCCTCGGAGGAGAAGTCGGACCAGCAATCCGGGTACAATGGAGCCGGCAGGGCCGGGAATTGCCTTTCCACAGACTCCATACTCTTTCCACCCAGGCCGTTACTCTTCTTCTCGAATCCTTACGAAGTAGTTACCCACGGAAAGTTCTTACTCAGTGCCGCCTGCAGATATCATGTTAGGACCACAGATAGCGGCAGTCACGCAGGCAGGAGGAGCTTTCTACACAGTAAAGTACCTTAGTCCCCACCAGAGGTACTTCTCAGGCATGGTATCCGTACCTGGTACCCTAGACATCTACAAAAACTTCGTACCATCCGTCGACTCCTCATCTCACAGCTGTCAGTGCAGGTGAGTCGCGCATGTGGGGGTGGTCACGGTCGTTTAACAAGCAGGTCGCGTGGATCACAATGACCTTTTAGGCATTCGGGAGGGTAAACTGTTTTGCGTTGAGGCTGAGACATTGCATATCCGTGGGAAAAGTGTGGTCCTGGAACTGGAACTGCCACTGACGAGATGAGAGAATCCAACGATTGATACCCAGGCCTCTTTTCATAGCTTTGTATGGGCACAACGGAGTACTTACTTTTGCCAATACACTGCCCACATACCATACCTTATTCAGTCGGTGTAACGAGCCCCAATATTGGCCATTTTCGTGCCACTTCTCACGATGATTCCGCTTCAACATGCCCGCCCCCCGCTCACCACCCGTTCCCTTGATCGACGCCTGGGACGTTGTTTGTTGATGGATAGAAGAGCCGACGTCGCTGGCTTGGTGCTTGCCTGGATGGCGAGTATCGAATACCGGTACAATGTGCCCAAGACCTAGGTGACTGTCTACGCCCCTCGTTCTCCCACATTCCACTCATCCCTCACGTCGCTCATACACGCCCACGACGCCCAAGACGCCCTCCTCCTGCGTATGGACGACACACGATATCTCAAACGTGACAATTGGTCAAAGTCAACGTCCACCCACGTTCCTCGTCCAATCCCGACTCATTCTCAACCACACAGACCTACCACAACAACAGACACCACACGCAACTCTTGCAGCTCACGTCTAGTCCCGGCTCTGTGTCCCCTGGCAAATGGCCTGCTCCGACCTGCACAACAAAAAGGTGGCTTGCCTTGGATGGGCAAGGACGCCGAGTTCAGTTGGTCGAGGTGTCACCGTCTGCGCCTCTAGCGCGACGACCACCACTTCCAGTCCTCCGAGACTCAAGTCCACGACCCCCAAATGTCCAATGGCTCATCCAATGGCTCATCCAAGAGTCCAAAAACTCCAACATGCTCTTCCAGCCAAGGGGGGTCCCACGTCCTTTCTCCTTCCCCACTGCTCTGGGCGCCCCAAGCACTGGCCTCAAACAAGGGCTATCCCCCGAGCCAGGGAAGCCAAGAACGACATGGAGCAGGGGGCGGCGAGCGAACGGCGACGGCGAAGGCCACGAGGGGCGCCGGGGGCACCACCAGGGAGGGCACCCTGACGAAATGAAATGGAAACCGTCGTGGAATGGGACGCATCGGCTTCCATTGCGGCTTCAAGCTTGTCGTTGACCTCGGACCTTTCCTGCTGCCCCGTCCCGTTACTCTGCTGAGCAATTTGGGTCTCTGTTCGCTCTCTCTTCTCTCGAATCGACCCTGACAAGTTCGAGGGCAAGACATGATGTGCAAATTATGTACCATACTATGCCATGACCATTCAGTCCAGATTTGGAAAACGCGTCTGCGTGGACGGTGGCTGTCCGTGCCGTAGACGCAGAAAACCAACGGCTGGCCTGTCCTTCTTCTCGAATCTTGCGGCTTGCGGCTTGCAACTTGCCCCATCACTGTATCCTAGACGCGGGCCAATACGCACCATTGACGGCGTTCCAATGGTCCGTATCCTCCTGGTCGTGCATGCATACTTGTTTCATCGCGCTAGCATCTGCGTCTGTTCTGCATCTGCCTCTCTGGTCTTCCGTACACAGTAGTGTACGGATACATGGTCCCCATCAGAGAGCCTCCCGCCCTTGTCTTTCCATCTCCTCGAGTCCCTCCCCTTCAGGAACCCTTGCCGGTTCGTTGTAAAGTCTGGTGTGCCTCGTAAAGTACATTGTACACATCGTGCGCAAGAACAACCGATACAGATACATGCCATTGCTTTCCCTTTTCTCCCGCCCTTTCTGTCCTTGTTTGTTTCTTTTTCCTCCTGCCCTCTGCCGTGTTGTGCTTTTTGCCGTTGTAGACACGCGGAACAAGGAATAAAGAAGCCTCTTCTGAACCAACCGCATCTCTTCGCTTCTTCCCCGACCAGTCTTACAACACATCTACTATTACCTATTGCTTGCCTATCGGCTTATTATTCAAGTACGAATACCTGCCGTACCATTTTCCTTGCTCCCTGATCTACTTCAGGTACCACTACTTTGCTCTCACGTTCCTTACGCCTCTACCACTATTCATCACGCATTCCTCTCTTGTCGTCTAATTCATACCCTTCACCAACCATTCTTCTTTAACGCCCTACCTCTCAGGCTAAGCGGCGCGCTATACGCTACCGCCCGTTCTAATCAACATTGCTCCTCCGGCCCGCCTCGTCAGCCTGTCGCAGACCTGCCCGGGTGCTCCTTTGATACATGACGCATGCGCTGCTAGGGTCCCCCCTTCTTAGTTGCTTAACTACTACCCCAATCCTCGGTCCCCTCGTGGGTTTCTCTCCTTTTGTTCGCCTCAGTTCTCGTGCCTTGATTGACCACTCGACTTCCTCCTCTCCTCTCGTACGGATACTCAGCGTCACCGCGGCTGTAGAGGGCGCATTTCGCCACCTCTCCCGCCTCTCCGATTCCGACAGGCCTAGACGACAAGCCGCATTGCTGTCTATATGCACCATGAATCAGGTTCCAGCATAGATCACCACCTGGCCTAGACATCTGGGGCGTCCGATCAAGAATCCCACCCAGCCTGGACTGGCGAACCGGGCATTGACATTGGCATTGGAACTAAACAAATCGTCACGGCACGGCACCGGACGCATCCCGTTGGCAATCCTCTTGGGTCTCACCAACAATATCTATACCCTTCTCCGTCATCTCTCTTCGGACCTCACCACACTTCATGGCATAACAGGGGTCAGCTATCAAATACAACGCGCTTCGTCCTCTGGCCTCCTTCACACTCGCTCTAGCCTAGAGCCACGCACGAAGTAATCACCAATTGCTGGCACTGCCATGGGCCTCTTCAAGTCGGCCAACCCACCCGCCGCTCCTGGCGCAGTACCTCGATCTTTAACGGGCCAGTCCATTCGGGGCAAAATATCAGGCCCGATTCCTATCCCTAGCCCAGTCGACGACGAATTCCCAATGCGCAACCCGGGTACCGGGATTGCTACGCCTCTGACCGAGGGCGACATGAAGGAGCAAATGATGCATCCGCCGCAGGCCGAACAAAGGGCCGGGTCGATTGTCTCGGTCCCTCAGCCCCAGCCCGAAGTTTCACAGGCCCCGAGAGCAGACTCGGTGATTGCACCAACGGGTTCCGCCGGTTCTGGCTCCGGTTCAGCATCATCACCAACATCGGCGACACACGCAACACAGGCCAACACGCCCCAATCACAAAGAAGAACAAACGCATCCAGCAACTTGCGATATTCCGCCGTGAGTGCGTCATCTGAACAGACGGGCGCGAGCAAGGATCGTCCACAGCGCAAAAAGTCAACCTTGCGCGGCGCGTTGGGGAAGCTTTTTGGTCGCAAAAAGAAGACGGGCTCTCAGGGCTCGACCGATTCGCAGCGCGTATCGACGTACAACGCCTCGAACCAACACAAGAGCGTAAGTTTCGGCACCGGCTGCTCCCGTACCATAGCATTCTTTCTGAACTTGGAGACTGACGGGGGGACCAACAGGACACTTCCGGGTTAAGCCGAGTCAAGGAAG